AGCAAAAATGTTGAAATTGTTGTTTTTGAATTGAGATCTGATCAACAAGGGCTAGCCTTAGCTAACATTGTAGCTTCTCCGTCAACATTCAAAATAACATGATATACGTATTAATAAAGCAGCGACTTGTAATCATAATTCAATCAGGAGAGACGGTTTTGATGTAAGAATACATATTTATGGCCAGGAATACACGAATGAATGTAATGGTGTTTTGGCGATTAGGCCCCGTAGTGCAGGAGTATCATTCGGGAGGGGAAAACTCCGATCCGATGAAACCCCGCCGGGGTCTAGACACTAGTGGTGGTGAATGGATAGTTGGGTTCGATCTGAAGAGGAGTGGCTTAGCTTGACCCTGGATTGGGGTGGCCGAGGGTTGCGTTGAGTCACCTGAAATGACAGCTGACAGGGGGGAGAGCAAGTTTAAAAGGGTTAGCGGAGCGCTTGTGAGAATAGAGCGAAGTGATTGGTTAAGCTGGGGAGTGACGCCCCCGATCACAAATTGAGAGGAGAGAGAATAGTAACGTAGCATAGTAAATGAATGAGTAAAGAAGGTCTTCCTGGTTGAACTTGCACTGAGCTCCATTAGTCTCTATGCAAATATGACAATCTGTAGAGTTCTGGGTGCCGTTGCCCACAACAACCGCAGATGTTTTGTTTTTTTCATTCACATCAGTGACGACCGGAGAAGGATCTCAATGCTGCATTGGCTTTTGCTAGACCGTGTTATGTGAAAGGCGTCACTTGCTTTTGCGTTGAATGAATGTGCGTCATTCGAGTCACCACATGAAAAATTCTAATCTCATTCAAGTCTGTCTTGGACATCTCAATGGGGTTAGGTTGAAAACCCTTTTTATAATTTTTGTCTGTACGTGTGTTTGCTGTACCCTTCATGTCAATGTGGTCTAATTGGAGCAAGCCTAAGCTTCACACTGTTTGGACAACCCCGCTGTTTAAATTAACTCCCTCCTTGCTGGTCTACCTGCATGTGCCATCCGACCTCTGCAGCTCATCCAGAATGCAGCGGCTCGCCTGGTCTTCAACCTTCCTAAATTCTCCCACACCACGCCGCTCCTCCGCTCCCTTCACTGGCTTCCGATAACTGCTAGAATCCACTTCAAGACAATGGTACTTGCGTACCATGCTGCGAATGGATCTGGCCCTTCCTACATCCAGGACATGGTTAAACCGTACACCCCAGCACGTGCACTCCGCTCTGCATCAACCAAACGGCTCGGTGCACCCTCGCTGCGAAGGGGACCCAAGTTCCCATCAGCAAAAACACGTGGGTTTGCTGTCCTGGCTCCAAGATGGTGGAATGAGCTCCCCATTGACATCAGGACGGCAGATAGATTGCACATCTTCCGGCGCAGACTGAAAACTCATCTCTTTCGACTCCACTTCGAGCGATAGAACTATTAACAAAGCACTTATATACTAATAAAGGGCTGGCTTATCTAAAGCCAGTTGACAGTATTTTATTTTTACCTTTGCTACCTCACAATTTGCTAACAGATTTGATTATACATACCTGATATAAAACCTTATTAAACATTTGAATCTCTGAGTCTGAACTCAAGTGAATCAAATCAGATTATTAGAAGCTTCTACATGAAGAGAATGATGGACCAATTTTCAAAAAAACTTGCCTTTTTACCCATATCGCCACTGCACCTAAAACACACCACAGTCCCTGCACCCAAAACTCAGTGTTTTCCACCTGCCGTTGCACTTGTGGCATTACAATAGGGCCTAAAGGGAGAGCTCCCTCAGCAGCAATAAGGCCACTCCATCATCCTGCTGTGGACAGATTCTCAAACTGGTGTCATCACTGCTGACGTTTTTGTCGCTGGCAGCTTTTCAGCATTCCTTTTCTATTTTCCACACACACACATACCATGCCTCCTCTTCCTGTCTCTCTGCATCATTTTCTCTCCTCTGACTCGTGGTTTTCCTCACGTTCTTTGCTTCCTGCTCACACACAGAAGCCCCAGCAGTGCGTGCGTGACATACCACTGGAGCTGTGGCGTAAATCAGCTGTCAATCTGATGTCAGTGTGGGACACTTACATTTAATGTTGGACAGCAGGACATGCCAATTAATGGCCCAGACCCCTGCACTGATGGATGGGTAATAGGAGCCAACACGTAGAAATCAGGCCAAGAGAGGGGAGCTGTAAAGGGGTTGTAGGCTAAGAAATGTTAGAAACTAACTATGATATCGCTCAAAAATACAAGGAGCACATTTTTATTTGAGCTAAAAAATAAATATAATGGCTGTAACGGTTTATTTATTCATGCAAACCGTCACAATATGGGGGTCATGACCCAGGGCACGCAGCCGCACGCAGAATAAACCCTTTTTATAGTGATACATGTAATGCAGAACCAAATTTCACATGTGTAGTTTCCCCAAGACTTGCATGAAAGGCAAACTATGGGTAGGGGCAAATACATGGTGAAGCTCGGAGTCCTGTCTGCTGGTTTCAGGTCAGCTACACACACATTCAATGGCATCACCAACATGTGCTAATCTGTATCTCCTCTGCTTTTCAGCAGCCTTTAGATGAGAACTTTTCATCACTATTTTAATTAGATTGTATAGCCTATTGTGGCCCTGTTGCATTTAGTTAATCAAAATCGACAGTAAAATGTTACTTCTTCTCCCCATAAAGAAGATTTTGTCCATCTGAAACTTGGACTTCTGTCTCTTTAAAATACATAAATAGAAATGTGTGTTTATGCATTTCTTTCCCACCGTTCTGAATGATGACTTCTTAATCGAGTATGAACTGAACCGCGACTTATTTTGCACCATTACATCCCTACATATTCAAGTGCATTTCTAGTGATGTATAGTATAGTATTTGTTTATTTGACCCCGAGGGGAAAATGGGTTGCAGCACATCACAGAGGCATTTAAAAAGATAAAACATACGTCACTGACAACAACATAGACACAGATTAAAAAGAACAGACATACAAAAAAAAAGATATCGGCAGTCATGACAAGGGGCCTAGGCCCTCATTTGCGATGGGGGGGGGCAGGGCCTCCTACCCATCATTGATTAATTGATTCAGGAGTTTGATGGCTTGTGGGACGAAAGACAGCCTAGATCTGTTATTTTTAAACAGAGGGGCACGATATCTCCGCCCGGATGGCAACAGTTCAAAACAAGAGGCGAATGGGTGCCTCAGGTCACTCACAATATTGTGTGCCATTTTTAAAACTCTGTCCTTGTATAAACGTTCTATACTAGAAAATGAGATTCCTGTCAATTTACTGGACAATATTATGGCCCTCCTAACTGACTTTTTCTGTGCCTCAGTGGCTTTGCCGAACCAGCATATGATGCCGAAGGAGAGCACACTTTCAATAACAGCATGATAAAACATCTTAACCATTCTGTTGCCGACATTAAAAGACAATCATTTACGTAAAAAGAACATTCTTTGTTGAGACTTAGCATTTACTTTCTCAGACCATACATCCCATCTGAGCTTGTGGTCAAGCACGACACCAAGATACTTGTACTCAGTGACACATTGTATAGGCTCCCTATTTAAAAGAGTAGGGTTGGGGGGATTGTGCTATTCTAAAATCAATTTCCATCTCCTTTGTTTTTGAGGTGTTTAGAAGCAGGTTTGACTTATCACACCAGTTGATAAAGAATTCAAGAACAGACCCATGCTCCTCTTCCTCATCAAATAGGAGGCTGACCAGGGCCGTTGGGAAAAGTGCTAATGCAGGAGTTGGTGTATAAAAGAGAGGATAAGACACATACCCTATCCAGGTAGTTATCATATCGGAAAGTGCCATGCCTATTCTATTCTAACCTACTGAGTTCTACAGCTGAGGAAGTCAACGATCCAGGCGATCAGACCAGATTCAAGTGAGAATTATTCAGTTAAAATATTTGCTAAAATACTAGGCTTGATGGTGTTAAAAGCCGGTGAGAAATCGGCAAATAGGATCTTTACATGGGCTTTTGGCTTCTCGTGTGAAAAGTAAATGGAGATGTGGGACGCAAGTAAACTATTAGATGCATGGGTGAATGCGTTAAACCCAAGTACATGTTTTCTGGAATGACTTTGTGGTGGCCCTGGGGAATTAAGCAATATTCACTTAAAATATATTTACGCAAACATGTAATCCAAAATCTAGAAATGTTCTGCATTAAAGCCACAGATACTGCATTTCAAAGAAAAAAGCTGCTGCAGTTCAAATGAACAGCCTTTAACAAAATGTACGTTATTGAAATATATCCTGTCTGATGTGCTGTATTAGAGAATATTAAAACTGAAATGTCAAGTGGATTTAGACAGTTAAACCAACAATGTGTTTCCCAAACCGCCAAAGGGGTTGAAGACATGGATGTCTTGAATTGTTATGCAGAGCCAAGGAAAAGTAAGAGTGCTGTCAGAAGAAATGTAACCAGGAGGGATGGGTGACAGAGGAGTGGGTACCATATGGATGGTTCGAGGGGATGGAAGGAAGGCCAGGAGGGTCATGATAAAGAGGAGGGGGAAATATACGAAGGGGTGGAGAGGGCACGCATGACTAGAAGGGATTTGGCCGTGGAAAGTCAACTCCAATGACAGATATCATAAATAAGATGTAGGCTAATGTGGATGTAGACGTCATCTACACAAGATGACATATCTTCAAAATGTAATTGTGAATGTAAAATAAAGGCCAGACAAGGTGATACAGGCATTACAAATGAAAATCAGCTAAAAAAGCACACAGTTTTATACTTTTGTTAAGATATTTTTATATTCCTTGAAACGACTAATTACTACTAATGATGCAATTTGTGAGAAGTCAAACAATTTCAAACTATATTTTACTTAATGTCTTTTAAAATAGTGGATCACATTATCATCATATTATCAATCATTCTTGCTTTTCTTCCAATCCCCCCTCCTTTACAAATGTTTAATATCTGGCTTTTTCATCTCACTGTCATTTGCTTTTATTGTTTCTTGTCTCTAATCCAGGAGGATTTTCGGAATAAGGTTCAAGATTACGTCAAGCACTACGCCAGATGATAGAAGCACCGGCTACCTACACCAGCCTGCACCAACCAACCAAACTGCTCTACCTTGCCTCTGCTTGCCTCGGCCAACTCGCCCAACGTGAATCGACAGCTGACTCTTACCGCTCCCCCTCCTCTCGACAACATGCCCTGCTGCTCACCAGATTGCAATAAACTCCAACCTGCAGGAGCGAAAATAAAAATAAAAAAGATGCGTAAAGACTTGTATACAGAAGAAAATTATGCTTTGATTTGTACTAATCGATTGAGCGTTACAATGACCACAATGTCTGTTCATTGTGACAAGATCGCAGAATGACGCCGCCTCCCTGAGGTGTCCCTGAGCCTGTCGGAAACGAGCCATGGCAACGACCGGCAAGGGATGTGATGTATCACCGGCACATAAAAATAAAGGCAGTCATGCTCAGCTGTTTAAGACTAATCAAAAGAAGGAATATTTGTTGATATCAGTTTCTCCGTTCCAGTGCCTGCTATGTTTGTGTCGCTAAAGAGAAAATGCATGAGAGTTCACAAACATATAAATACGCACAGTGTCACATCATGTAGTAAAAGCTTAACACATACATCCAAGTACTTAATACACTTATTCACACACACTAGAGTCGGAAAGACCCATTAGACAGCATGTGAATGACCACATCGTCCCATTTTGTTGTCATTCTTCTTGCATGTACACACACAACGCTCACATACATGCTTTCTTTTTTGTGTTTTCAGCTCAAGTGGGATAAAGTAAGACTACTAGAACCACAGCCAAATGTATTGTACTGTTTTCAGCTTCTGCTCTCCTCATTGTCCTTTTTTTGCCTTTTCCTCCCCCTGCTTCTCTTTTTCACACCTACACACTCACATGTACCTGGGAGGGACATGACTTGTCGCTCTGAATTTAAATGTGGTTTAGAAATGAAACAATGACTATGAGTTTATAGGACTGATGTGATTTAATTTTACATTTATACCCAATAAACAGTGTAGGAATTGTGTCTTTTTGTACACAAGTCCCCAAGTTTATTGGACACATTGTAATGTTATATGTGACAAACAATGTGAAAGGGATTGGTCGTTGATGAACCTACAGGGAAGTATCACCTGCCCCTGCAGCTCCTCTCAGCGTAATAGTAAAACTAAGCTAATTGTTTTGCTATCTAGCGCAAAGTTTGACTGTTTTTGTTCACTGTCACTGGTCTCATAGTGTCGTTTTTGGCTGTTTTCAGCAAAAAAGCTCCAACAATCCTACAGTACAACAGCAGAAAAAGACTGTTGGTGACTAAAATGTGGTGAAACAAGTGAAGCAATTAGCAGCTAAAGAGCCAGATATCATTAGTTTGGTCCACAAGTCTGACGTATGTCGTTCACCCAACATATATGTGAACACCTTTTTAAAGAAATAGTTCTTGTTTAAAGTCAGCACTTTTACCTCACAGTTATTGTTTCATATAATTGTCAACATGCTGCAGTACAGAATAAAATACATTACTGTGCTAAGACGTATTGACTGCACAGAAGTTAGCCCTGGGAGACCAAAGCTAATGTGTAGAGTGTCTTTACTTAACGACAGTAGGCCTACCCATTCTGTCCTTCTCTTTGTCTATCTGTATCAAATTATTTCCCCAAAAATGTAAACTGCATTATCAATGTTGACAATGTGGACCTGTAGTCAACTGCAAAGGTTCATGAGGAGAGTAAGAATGGGAGCGAGCTAGCAAGCAGACTGGTAACATGCTATCGAGTGAGTTTACAAGCTAACTAGCTAGCTCACAAGTGAGTGTTTTGTTACTCGGTGCGAAGGGCTTTGTTATTATTTGTTATCGGGTATGTGTACTACAATGTGGAGAAATTAAAGGTGTTGCCCTTGTAGTACAGGTTTAGAGGAGGGAAAGTACACACTCTGTAGCCAGTTAGCCTGTTTACGCATGGAATAGCTTACTTGCTACAAAGCTTGTTAGCTTGCGTAGGTTCTGCTATTCCACTGCCATTGTGGATTTCTGGCCATACAACTTGTGTAAGAGAAAGAAAGTGACCGTCACTCAGTTAGCCAGTGAGTGTTTGTTAGTGTGTGTTTTGCTCGGCCCTGGCTAGCATTGTGCCTCCAGTTTCAGTCATATCTCAGAACATCAACACTGTTCTTCTCACTCTATTCAGCTTTGTGTTCACACTTCTGCATGAGGCAAAATCTATGTTATCTGGCAGTGGTGCATTTTACTAAGGATGTCAGAAATGTACTTGTTTAAGATTGAAATGTTATGTCGGAGGTGTGTGTGTGTATAAAGATTGAAATAATGTTTGTTGAGCTTGTGTGAGTGGGCAGTTAATGTATGAGGTGATGAAATGATGTGAGTTGTTAGCATGCTGTCCCCCTGTCTTGGTCCTCTTTTCTTTTGGTTTTTCTGGCCCTCGATTCAACATCTCAAATTATCAGTTATCTAAGTTAAACAGAAGAACAGATGATACTGGCTAAAATAAAGGGGCTGAAAATATGACAAACACCAGGACCATTGAAAGCAAATATGAATGTGGGCGTTCAGTGTTATCTTCCATCATGGTGTTGGTCTATTAAAATGTTGAAGGCTAATGTAACAGTCTATCAATAAGAAGCCATCCTGTGAAATCAATATAAAAATGAATATTGTGGTAGTAGTTGCCTACTGGGTATGGAAGCCCAACTGTGCTTAATCTTAGCCTTACTACTCTGATATGTCATATGTTCTTTATTTTTGGCAGTTAGTGTTTTTTCCCAGAATGCTATCGGGAGATGCGTCTGCTTGGGCTAACTCAATCTTTGGGCCATGGGAGAAGATTAATAATCTGTTGTCTCAACCTATACTTTCTCAGATTGTATATCAATTTTTTAAGATATATTAAAGAGAATATAGATAAAACAAATGTGTCTTTAATGTTTGTTCATGTGTTTCTTTCACTTAAGTCATTTTAAAACTGGCAATAAATGGTTTCAAATGCTCTAATTCTCTTCCTAAAGCCCAAAGCAACATCTTCTAATTGCTTGTTTTGACCAAGTGTCCCTAAAGATATCCTGCAGGATTATACAGGATGAAGGACATCTGCTTCTTGGACATTATGGATCCATTATTGAATGCATTAGCAATCTAAGACCATCTAGCACCACTTAAGCATCCTTGCTCTCTTTCATCTCAGGGGGATACAACAGTAAGACCACAAATGTGTAAGGGGGATGTAAAAGCTATTTTCAAACATACAATGTGTAATGCTCCCACTGGGGGGCTCTCAATCAAAACAGTTGCAGTCTTTCAGGTTAAAATATATTTAAGGCGGATATTAAGGATCACAATGCTGGCACTAAAAAAAAAGCCGTTATGGGGAAGAGTCTACACTTGGGGGTTTTAACAACTGGATGGATCTCTGACGTTGAATCCTAAACACCTCGGTCATCCCTTGACTTTTCATCTAGCGCTTCTGAAGTGAATGTGGCTTTGTGCGAAATATCTCAACAACTAGCTTTGATTGTCCCAAAATGTGATACACATATTAAAACGTCAGTTTTCTTTTGCAGGTTTAAGCCACATTTTATTATCAGCAGGCAGAGATGGAGTTATCATATGATCAAAGCTCCATACTTGATGACAGCTGAAGCCTCTTCATGACATCGATGCAAATGGACTCCACTGAAGAAGACCATGGGATGTAGCAAAAGTTCCAGAAGAAATCCAGTAAGTGTACCATGAGTTAGGATTATTTTGTCAAATGCCCCTTATTTCCCTGCTCTTCACCAATCTTGACGTGAGGTATACTCAACCAGGTGAGGGGTACATCCACATGCACTCAATGTTTTAACTCCTTGTGATAGCTGTCAGACGTTAACCACACAATGCCTACATCTGCCAATCACCCACACAACACGCCTGGAGGAAACGCAATCATACTGTACATTGGCCCTGTGGGTATATTTACTTATGAATGAAGTGTGTGTGTGTGTGTGTGTGTGTGTGTGTGTGTGTGTGTGTGTGTGTGTGTGTGTGTGTGTGTGTGTGTGTGTGAGTGTGTGTGCAATGACAGCTCACAGACACAGCCAGGTATTAAGATGGTTGAATGCTATAAATCATATTTATGTAGTTCTTCTTATGTCCTGGTTGTAGCACACTTTCCTGCTGCAGATCCGAAAATACCTTCTGAATCAGACCTACAGTATTTAATCAGCCTCGATTAATTCAAGTATGTTTTCACTTTCATTAAACAGACTTGGGGAAGAAGTGATAATATAATTGAAGAGTTACGAAAGTTGTGTCCCTACACAGAGTCCCAGTGGACAGCCACATTAAAGAAGTGAATAATGGCTGTAAATGATGGGTCATTTGTCACACAAATAGGCTGCAGTCAACACAACTGTAACTAGGGAGCTTTGTGACTGGTACAATGGGATTAGTTTTAATCCTGTAATTAGATTTTCCTTAGGAAATAAAAGCTACACATTTAGATGGCCCTAATATGCTTTCTGGGGTTTTCCTTTTCCTGTAGTGTGTTATATATGTTTTTGTGCATATAAATGGTCTGCCAAGAATAAAATCCCTGTGTTCCCTTCAGAGGGAGTTTCTCTCCCACACACTCCCCCCCCCTGCCTGAAACGCCTACATTGGACTCCTTAGTTTACTTCTGTAACACAGTCGAGGCACAAAATACAATTATGAAACCTGAATATGAGCATAATAGAGCCTTTTTAATGTATCCTACCTCATGTGTCTCCCTTTAAAGGTACATCCAAAAAGTGAATTGTGAAATAAATAAAAGTTACATTTTTCAAAAGCACATATTAAGGCAACTAAACATGTCTGTAAACTATCCATATTTCAATGCAAATGGGGAGATTTCTGACATATAAAGGATTATTTAATTGAGCTGCAGATGAAAGCCTAAAGTGGTGTCCCTGCCATCTATCTCAACATGGTGGACAGTACTAAAGCTCAGTTATCTGGCCAACTCCTTTGTATTTTATGATTCATTTCCTGAGTCATTTCCTCATGTAATCTCATGTGGCAATCATTGGGAAAAATGATATGGTATTTTTGGTGGAGTTCAGTAGAGCTGGAAGTTTACATGATTTCAACTGAAAGCACAACGGAAGAAACAAAATACAATGAAACCCTTTTTTGGGATGCATGCACATCTTTGTGCATGACATTTTGAATAAATAATACAAATGAGAACACTACTTTATTTGCACAAGCAATTATTCATTAAAGAAGATGTTGAATTACAAAAAAACACACATTCACAATTTATGCTAGGTTCATGCCATCACTTTTCAACTTCCTGCATTTGTTAATTTGCATTTACTATATTTTCCTGACTGAGTTGTATTTGGGTGGACAAAGACTGTTCTTCAACAGTAGTTTAACTAATCCAGGTTAACATGATCTTAATGCGTTAAATTATCCAATTAAATGTAAGAAAGCCAGCTATTTTGTATAATAATCATCCCAAAGTTCAGTTTTATAAAAGACACAAAGGTTCTCTTTTCGTCTGTTTTATTTTTCAGTCGAGCAATTGCTTCATTTTGAAAGAGTTCTGTGCTTTTTAAAATCTACATTTAATAATTAAGGATGTTATTAAGAGTAGATAATGGATTGGGAAACATGATCAACACTTATGAGAGCCTCCTGCAGGATGCACAATCATGCGAGACGAGGGTGGGCCTGGATAGAAAAACTACACTTTCCCCAGGAACAGCAATCATCTCTGAGGTCACATTCTCTGAGGAGGTGAAGGTTCATCCTGATTAAACTGACTGTCAGAAGACGGATGCAGGGGGTCTTGGAGACGGAGCCACCAAGTACCAGGACCTGGTCCAACAATGGACAAAGGGTGGCAGGTCCGGCTATTTCCAATTAATTAATTGGCTGAAGGAATTTCCCGGCACAGTCAGATCAGAAATATGCTTACAGCTCTAGGAGTGCATGAAGTGAGAGTTAAACAGCTGCTGGCAGGTTGGGTGAGGCAGAGGAAACAAACACTTGGCTCTGGAACATGGGGGAAGAGTTGTGCTGTTAGCAAGGGGGGTGGGAAGTGACTGGTCATCACTGTTGACCCGCCAACAGGAGGACACTGAGGTTCGGCATCAAAACTTACAACAGCCAAAAGCCACAGTCATAAGAAAATGACTGAATGCGTTAGCAGCTATGAACCTAACAGTGATCTACTGATTGCATTATTTTAAAGCTAATATAACCAGAACAAATCTGATATGTTGCATTACATTTTATCCAAAGCAACTTTCAATTAGTGTAATAAACCATAAACTCAACAAAAAACCTGCAGGTACAGTACATTTGCTTCTAATAAGCCAGACCGTCCTGCGTAAGATTCAATCCTGCAAAGATCCACAAGAAAAGCACAGTTAAGGCATTCTAAACAATTATCATTACGAATTCTCTGTAATTTCCAAAACTGACTCAAATGTCAATGTCTTTGGAAATGGAAAGTTTCAATACAAGTGTACACAATGACTAATGATGATGAAATGTAATCATTAATTGATCAGTAGTTTTCTTCTTCTGGTCTGGAGTATCGGAGGTATATTAGATACTTTTCATTTGAATCTGTCTTTTACATCATACCCTTAAAGGTGGGGTATGTAATTTATTTTAGAAACACTTTTTGTTATATTCCATGGAATGCTCTTAACATCCCGATAGCAATGAATATCTTAAGTGCTTTGACACAAAATCCATAAAAAAACATCATCTGTGGAAGCCGTAGTACTGTAAAAAGCACGACCAATCATTTTAGCCGGCCCGGTTAGAGTAACTGGATGGCCTACCTGCCTGTCAGCCTTCCATCTGTGCACAAACTTATCTCATGCCCTCATTGGTCATGTGCGCATTCGTGTGTGTTGGAGGAGGGGCTCTGTGAGGAAGTGGCAGATTTTTTCCGATTGTGTATTTTCAAATTCTAGCGCACTCGCACTAAACGGCTCTGAGTTAAGGTTGGTTATTGTTGGGGAAATATTTTCCAAGGCCCATAACTTTTACCCAGTTTATCAGTTTGTGCTGACCTCGCTGAGTTCAGGCACCTGCAACCTTGGCTGCTGTGCTCTCAGTGTTCTGTCTCCCTGTTCCTGCCTGTTGGCTTCAGCTGATAGAGGTGTTATGATTCTATCTTGTTATGCACAATGTTGATTATTCTCTCTGAACTAGCTAAATACATGGGTCTGGGGTAGAGATCTTCAGAATTGATTTGGCATCTCAACCTGTCTCAACTCGTGCACACGACATGTCTTGTGAATTATACGGCCCAAGCTCCAAATAAACCGTCAGTGTTTGCCATCAAAGTTCCAGCTCTCCTCGTGTCTCTCTGAGTCCTGTTTCCAATTGCTTCAGAAGTGTCCCTCACAGTTATAGCTACCTTTGAAGAAAAACACACACACACACATACATTCCCTCATTTTAAGATTCAAAGCAGTCTTTCCATCCCCACATGCACACTGAAAACAGTAGGGCAGCGAATGTAATCAGAGAATGTAATTGGTCTTTGTCACCATCAACTGGTGTGTGTGTGTGTGTGTGTGTGTGTGTGTTGAAGTACACCACATATTGGAGGATCAGCAGGATCATTATCTACCTAACCCTCTCTCTTTCTGCTGACCCGCAGATCATGTTATTGTCATGGCCACTGCCCCGCTTCCAATTCCCTTTCCTTTTTTTCTTCTTCTTTACTGTGGTGATGACAGCAGCAGTGTTCCTGAGCTCTTTCAGTTCATTCTCATTGCCTTTGTACAATTGAATAAATATATCATATGTCAGTCATCCCTGAAGCCAGGAAGCATGAGATGATGTATCCACTGTCAAAGGTTCATCTTTATTCCTTAATTCACTGTATGTGTTTTTTTGGGAGTGTGTGTGTGTGCGTGTGTG